GGGTGTTGGCCTCTCGGTGACACATAAAAGAATGTAATATCTATTGGCTGTGACATGTGGCCCTAACTATGACTTGATGCAAGGCTATAACTATGCGTTGGGTCGATTAGGCACGAACCTCTGAACGGAAGGTCTGATTGTATGCCTTGCGGGGACCACTTTGACTTATAGACGAAGAGGCCTATGGGACCATACCTAATTTGGCGAGAGCTTAAACTTACTCCTGATCCCACCTGCGTTTATCAGTTATTGTACCTGCTGATTGTCCTGTACCACGTATACAGTAGTGGAAATAATGATCCTTGCTTGAACCGTATATGTAGTCTAATGTCAAGAAGATTTGACTTGTCCTGGTGGGGCGATAACTAGAACTCTATAAATGCTGCAGTTGCATTTTCAACCAAGAAGGTCTGATTGAAAGCAGTGTCGGTGAATGTATTATCTTAAATCAGGAGCAAATGAAACATCTGTATAACTATTATTTGTCGGTTTGTCTAGTTTGCCTTTCTTTCGTGGGAATTGCCTGTTCCTATACCCCCATGCGTATGTTTGACTTTTTGTTGAATGAACCTACCAAACGGACGGCCACCAAGAATAGAAGTGTGCTGCTGGTTAACCTCTTGATCCCAATTAGAACATTGTGGTTAACCGCAGACACCTCTTAATTATAACCGAATACAGGGTGGTCGTCGTTCATATGTCGACCACGAGGCGGCGGCCATTTTAAACCATGCGAAAGACCAGCGGTGTTAGACATTGATTCTATGGAACTAAAAACGGACACTTTTTCTGCTGAACACCGCCCTTCTCAATCGACAGAAGTGTGCGAACACCGGCCGTTCGGGAGTTTTGTCATCTTATTTATATAGCGTAGCGGAGTCAGGAATAGTTAGTGCACCCGACAGAAGCGGAGGATGATACTAACCATTGTTTAACATGCTTATATACTCATAAAACACATAACTGCTTTAAGGATAAATACTTAAGTAAATAATGGCCCTAACTGACATTGGACATACTGTTAAATTTGTTTAAGTATTTAGACAATAGAAATGCAGGAAAAGAACATAATAATGAAAGATTTATGCAAATGCTAAAATGGGAATACTGCAAGCTTAATTGGCCCCAAAATTACTGCGTATAGCACAAGCCATCAATAACTGAGCACATAATGCAGTATGATTAAGAAACTGAGACCCCTTTAAATGAAGTGGCGTATTTTTTAACCAAGCAGGCACCGTTGCTATCAGTGACAGTAACTGTATGAAGTTTAACAAGAGGGAGGATAACCGAACCTAATTGACATCTTATTTAAATACAGCCTAGTGTAACTAGGGACATGAGATGCAGGAGACAGAAGAAGTGGAGCATAAATAAAATCTTATTTAACATACTTATATACACCAATAAAACACTTTAACCATGGTTTAAAGAAACTAATACATAGTTGCCATATTAGACATAAATACAATGAAAAGGATGGTTTTAAAGAAAGACTTGGTAAAGTATACGGAATGCAACATGAAATGGCATTTAAATTAAAAGAAAAATGCTTTAACAATGCTATTTAACCCCTTAAGGACACATGACATGTCATGATTCCCTTTTATTCCAGAAGTTTGGTCCTTAAGGGGGTTAAATGAGATTAACTTGAACTGCTAGGTATAAGGCAGTAAATACACGAAAGTTTGTACGAAAGTGTGATTTATATGAACGGATGCTATGTGTATACTAATGGAAAGCAAGCATTTTATGTGAACGGATAATACAGAATAATGTTGTTATATACTAGAAGAAATCAAAAGCAAACAGCTGCTGCTGTATAATGTGTATGTAAGAGCCTGGTGAGTATGTGTCCGCACTTTCAAAACAGGATCTCAATTTGTCAGGAGGAAACCATAAAGACATCTGCTATACAATATAGAATAAATACTTTGGGACACCCTCCTGAAATAAGTTTAACAATAACCGTATTTTAAATACAATGAAGACGTTATAATCATGCTGCTAACGAGCTTAACTACCACTGTATACAGAGCGAGACGAAAGTGCATATGGAATACCCGGATCTTTACAACAGATAATGAAAGAAGGCATGGACATGTTAACTCACTAACGGCTGTTATGTATGGGAGTAGTAAGCATAGACATTTAGGCGAACGGACGTCTAAACATACATAAATGGTACTGTGCCGATGACAGTTAACGGAAAGCCGTACCACACGAAATGCAGTGGTAAATAAACGAGTAACGTGAGTGTTATAGATGAATGAAAGTTTAGACGAAGATGTGAATTAAGACAATAGTACAAAACCCCATTGACAGCCAAATGAATCATTTTGACATTAATGGTGTTATATATTAGAAGATATCAATAGCAACCGGCTGCTGCTGTATAAGTAGTGCGTAAGAGTATGGAGAGTATGTGTCCATGTTTTACATCACAGCATCTTATTTTTCAGGGGGATTCTGAGAATCAATTGCTGTACAATATATATTGGATGAAAGACTTAGTAAACCTCCTGAATTTAACCAGAACAGCTGTTTAAATACAATGAAGATGTTCTAATCATGCAGGTTTTTTTTTGTTTGTTTGTTTTTTTAAATGACAATACATTATGGGAAAGAATTGCTCCAACATCATTAAGACAGGAAACATGTAGCACATATGGCAAGAAGTGATCTCAAGAAACACAATCACCTGAATTCACAATTAAAATCTTATACTGATATTAAGCGATACATCAACATCTATACCACTGTGGCACAAGTGAAAAATAGTTTAACCGAAAGCCAGACCACACAAATTGCAGAGCTAAATAAACGAACGATTAACGTGAGTATTATAGACGAAATGACAAGTATTAGACGGAGCATACGATAGTCCAAGTGAAACAATCAGCAGTTTCTACACATGCACGACGGGTTGTAAGAAAAGTGGGTTTTATATGCGGGGCTGTAATTAGTATAGGAACGAGAAACCTAATAGGTTATGTGAATGAATGCCCAAGTGTTAAGGGAATTGTGCAAATTAAAGTTTAACCGAAAAGGAAACAGTATGCATAAAATTGTAGCGGTAAGTGCACAAATGATTACTATGAGCAATGTACGTATGAACGCCGAGTCAAAACAAGTATGAGGTGCGTACGAACGCTAGAGTATGACACTGTTTAGCCGTTCGTATTCTGGCTTCCTATGGTTTTACTCTCGAACTGAGACAGGAAAAGAAAGTTTGCAAAACGGACTGCAGGCGGACGCGAAAATTACGCCAGGTCCTGTGAACCGGAAGTAAACCGATTCACTTCAGAGATAGTCGACGACAGGTAAGCAGGGGCTCACTGGGTTTAAATAAGTGAAACTTCAACTTCAGGCCCAGCCTTCTATTTGCATTCAGGGTATCAAAAGCTGTACAGTTAGAGATATAAAACATACAGGGAAGAGGCAAAGTCGGTTGTGGTGTGCTGGAACCGACGATGTGGTAGGCCTGAAATAAAAGAGGGCAAAAGAGAGAGATAAAATCTATTCAGCCTACAGATACAACATAAATACAAAACATAATCATATTCCGGAAAGCTAGAGGTACTTAACGTTTTGGTAATGTGTACGGGAATATTTCTCTTGGATGCCATAGTAGCGGCTCCTATACGGAATGAATTGTTACAAAAGACTGAAACTAACTACGTTACTGTTTGCTAACCGATGGATTGTCCCTACATAAGTTTAAAACGAAAAGACGCACGAATGGATTACCTGAACCATTATAAAGGCCCCATTCGTGGTACGAACAGGGGACCCCTCAGAATTGGCGTGTGCCGCCACTTAACCCCGTCACCCCGCAAACTGCCGAACGCTCGACCACCTGGCCAGCGGCGTGTGGCGGCCATTAACCACCCAGGCGGCTGCGGTTTGCGGTTAACCACAACATAATTGATAGGCCTGGGGGCATTGACGTTCGCATCTAAATACCGAACGGGATCCACCGAACTACCAACCGAACGACGACCCCCTACAGCGGGCCATGTAGCGGTCATTAACTTGTGGTTTCTGCGGTTAACCGCAGGTTAAGTACCCTGCTACCAGGTGGTCCTCATTCCCGGACCAAACAAGCCCCACTACCAGACAGACAGCGGGACTTCGCATGAACTGATACCGAGTTTAGTTCCACGAGTTAGAAGCGAAGTCCCGCTGCCCGCTAAACCAGCAGAAAACATGGCCGCCAACAGAGACTAACAATCTCAAAATGCCGAACGGACTTTATACGGCAGAAACAGTCCATTCTGTTCGCGGGATTAGAGCGCCATTCGCATGTTTTATATACACGAACGCGAGCCTTCAGATGAATGGTAGAATGAGTGGTTTCCCTGTAATAATGTAAAAGTTATGGATTTTCATGTAGTTTTCTGGGACATAATAAAACGTGGTCTTTTGTGCGCTTGGAGATAATTAGATTGTAAAACCGTTGGCCTCATTATCTCCAAGCTGGGCGGGTACTAATTCAAATGATACAGTGTACTGTGATTGGTTACCTGTTTGTACTGTACCTGTATTCCATCAGGTCCACAGGGGGCTGTCCTTAGACCTGAGGAATCACATAAATTGCCATGCTATGTGCCAGTAAAGCCTGTTCGTTTTGACCCTCAACTTGCAGCCTCGACTCATGTTGTAGGGATCCGGGATATTGATGCTTATTTCGTGCTTGGGAATATTCTACACTTGCAGCTTACTACCGAAAGACCTCCGTTCGACTCTCTGCAGCGGGAACCAGGACATCCAAGCGATCAACCCTCCTGCTAGACCGGGGGCAATCGTAACAATTGGTGGCAGCGGCGGGATCATCCTGGCATTCCTGAGAGAGATATATAAGACGGATGGAGAGCAACTACGATAAGCTGAAGCGTACCACGTTAAAGGATTTACTGGAGAGCCGTGGGGGAAACGCAAGTAACCGGCAGAGAAGGGAATTGATTGCCGATCTAAAAGAGTTGGATCTAAGCTTCACCATGGCAGAACCGACGGTAACCCCCAGCGATGAAAAGATAAGGATTGTCCGGGAAAGGCTCCCTCTATACGGGCCGAACCCATCCGTAGAGCTGGTGCAGCAACTGATGGCAGAAGCCGAGGCGGACATACAGCGGGCTCGAGCCCACGAGCTGAACCTGGTGACCGCACAGCAGGGAGCCGCCGCTAATAGCCATACTGGCTCCCCGGAGACTACAGAACAGCCAAAAATTCTGTTCGCGGCATTCAAGCCATTTGCGGAAAACGAGATGGGGATAGATGAATTTTTGGCAGATTTCGAAAGACAGTGTGCCCGTTCCAGCGTGGCCACGTATCTTGGCAGGAAAGTTGACCGGGCGGGCCATGGAAGCTTTCAGGACACTCAGCGCCGAAGAGGTAGCCCAGTATCCCACAGTGAAGGAGACGCTACTGAAGCGGTACGCTGTGCCCCCAGACACTTACCGAAGGCAGTTCCGCAACACAAAGAAAAAGGCGAATGACACACATGCCGAATGGGCACACCGCATGCGGAGAGCTGCTACACATTGGATTACCGGGTGTCGGGCCGTCACGGCCGCGGAAATATTGGAACTTTTTTTGTTGGAACATTTTTATGAGGGTCTGAAACAAAAAGACAGGGAGTGGTTGAAAGACCGGCATCCCGCTAATCTACACGAAGCAGCCCGGTTGGCGGATGAACACCGGGATGCGCAAGTTCAGGAGTTCAGCAATGCCCGAACGGTAACTCGCCCCGAAGCAAGAGAGGGGTACCGACCAACTCCACGAACGGAGTTTTGCACCCCTGTACCGGCAGGTCCTACACGGTACACGGGACCACCCAGCCACTATCCTCAGGAACGCTCCCGACCCACCTGTTATAAGTGCAAGCAACCGGGGCACCTGATAGCGAGTTGCCCCCTCAACAACAATTACCGCGCACGGAACTACAATTCCTCTCCAACGGGAAACAATCGCCCAGCTCGAGCGTTTTGCCTGGAACAAGACAGTCCTCTAGAAGAGTACCTGGGACCTCTACATGAAGCTAACCCTGTGTATGCCGCCAGTGACAATAGACAACACCACCAGCAAGAGGTACTGCTGGAGGGTCGTCCCACACAGGGTTAAGAGACACCGGGGCCACGATCACCTTGGTACAAAGCCGGTTAGTCCCCGAATACAAACGCTCACCTGACACAGTGGCTGTCCGGGTGGCTGGAGGGGACATATACAAACTACCCACAGCAAAGGTACACTTGGATTGGGGTGCGGAAAAAGGACTTGTAAGGGTGGTAATTATGGATAATTTGCCAGCCGAAGTTTTGCTGGGAAACGACCTGGGACCTATGACCTCAGCTTCTTACAACGCTGAGGCACATCCCATGACGACCCGGTCACAAGCAGGACATGCGCGAGACCCTTCACCAGTGCGGGAGGCTCAGGTAAGACTTAACCCGACCGTGACCACCCCTCCTGCCCCTTTGCCCTGGGACACCCCTGCAGCCTTTGAGGCTGAGACCAAAACTGATCCGACGCTCCAAAAATATAGGGAAAGGGCTGATACAGGGGCTGGGGGACCAGATCAGGAGACTTTTGCGTGGGAACAGGGCCGACTGTACCGACACACTGAGAAAAAGGGCCACCGGAGGAGACAGTTAGTAATACCCCACAAGTATAGGCGGGATATCCTCCGGGTGGGTCATGATATTCCCTTAGCCGGGCACCTGGCAGTAACCCGTACCCTGCACCGTATTACCCATACCTTGTTCTGGCCAGGAGTACATGCAGATGTGAGGTCCTATTGTAATACGTGTGAGGTGTGCCAACGGGTAGGCAAACGAGGAGACCACCCCAAGGCACACCTCGTTAACATGCCCATTATCGACGAGCCGTTTAGCCGGGTAGCCATCGACTTAGTTGGGCCCCTAGCCACCCCTAGTCCCTCTGGCAAGAGATACATTCTTACCATAGTGGACTATGCTACCCGCTACCCAGAAGCTGTGGCTTTATCTAATATCCAGGCAGACACGGTGGCTAATGCATTAGTACAGGTATTCTCTCGGGTAGGATTCCCTAGGGAGATCTTATCCGACAGAGGATCACAGTTCACGGCAGAACTGACCCAGCAGCTATGGCACGTTCCGTACCACCCCCAGACCAATGGGTTATGTGAGCGGTTCAACGGAACCCTCAAGCAGATGTTAAAAACCTTTATGTGACAGACCCATCTGTCTGGATTATAAATGCTGTGTTCGCCTGTTTTGCCGGTTACATGAATTTCCCCATTCGTATGCTTTATTCAAGGGAATGTCGGTTTTTGTCGAACGGAACTACCGAACGGATGGCCACCCAGAAGAGAAGTGTGCTGCTGGTTAACCTATTGATCCCAATTAGAACGTTGCGGTTAACCACAGACACTTCTCAATTAAAACCGAATGCCGGGTGGTCGTCGTTCGTATGTCGACCACGAGGCGGCGGCCATTTTGTCCATGCGAACGACCAGCGGTGTTCGACGATTATTTCATGGATCGGAAAACGGACACTTTTTCAGCCGAACACCGCTGAAGCCGTCGACCTCCCCTTCTCAATCAACAAAAGCATACGAATGCCAGCCGTTCGGGAGATTCAACCACACGAATGGACTTAACCCAGATAGCCGTCCCATGGAGTCAATCGCATACCGACGAACTGAAAGAGACTTTGACTCCATGGCGATTGAACTGTGCGAATGGGATCTGAGCGCTATTCTTCAATAATGTGCCCTCAGATCCAGGCTATCTGGGGATATGCAATACGAATGTAATATGTTCGGCAGTTATGAAGTTATGGATTTTCATGTGTTTTTGTGACTTGTGTTTAAAATGGCGATTGCCTCTGCTCGGGGAGATAATTGAGTTACTTCCCAATTATCCCTCGAGCAGAGGGGAGGGAACTGTGATGCATGCTGGGAATATTGTGGGGATGTATGTCCCAAATGTCCCCATGTCCCTCTGTGATTTCAGTCTCCCATTTGGTCCCCTAGGGGAGTGTCCACCAAGTGGGAGACCTGCATAAATACCGGGCAGGTAGCCCACAGTAAACCAGTTCGTGTTTTACCCTCAAAGCGGAACTTGGTCTCGTTATTGGGGGGATTTGGATACCAGCGGCGAGAGACTGCTTATTTGGATTATTTGCCGCTTGGGAGATATTGTCGTTCGGTTACTAATTGCCGTTCGTGGATTTGCCGCTCGTGAAGGGAATTAGCCGTACAGGTACCGTTCGGGAGTTTGGAGTGTTCCCTGACTGGCGGTTCGCATGGTTTTATTATACCCGCTACCCGACCACATTATTGCGAACAGGGAATACTCGCTAAACGGCGGTTTTGTACATTTCAGTACTGGAGGTACCGTAACACTTTACTCAGGAGTATAGGGACTGGGAACATTTCCTGCCGCACCTCCTGTTCGCTTACCGGGAAGTGCCCCAGGAAACCACCGGGTTCTCTCCCTTTGAGCTGTTATACGGTCACAAGGTAGGGGTCCCCTGAACCGGATCCGTGAGCACTGGGAGGGAGAGACCGAGAACGCCGGGGTCCCCATCGTGCCTTACGTACTGGAGCTCCGGGACCGAATGGAGCAATTGGCTAAGTCAGTCTAGGCCAACCTCCAGACGGCCCAGGGGCGACAGAAAGTCTGGTACGACCGGGGGGCACGGCAGAGAAGCTTCTGTCTCGGGCAGAAAGTCATGGTACTAAAACCAGTTAAGACAGGCAAGCTACAAGCAGCCTGGCAGGGTCCCTACCAGATAGTAGAGAAGAGAGGAGACACCACTTATTTAATTGCCAGCTGTCACGATGAAAACTTAAGAAAGATATTTCACGTGAACATGTTGAAGGAATACTTGCAGAGACCCGAGGAAGTGTCTGCCATATGTAGCCCTGCACACGAGGATGCAGATAGTCTCCCCATACCCAACTTATTAACCCCTAACTCCCCGGTTGAAATAGTGAGCCAAGTGCAGATCGGGGACAGACTTAGCCCAGTTGAGAGGGAGCAGCTACACAAACTGCTCCGAGAGAAACAAGCCATGTTCTCCCAAGAGCCAGGGTACACTGAGCTGACCACTCACCAAGTAGATACCCCCGGCCAAAGCCCTTTGAGACAGGCGCCCTACCGAATTCCGGAGGCAGTAAGGACAGGCATGAAAAAGGAAATAGATGAGATGCTGCGACTAGGGGTCATTGAAGCTTCTGATAGTCCCTGGGCATCCCCGGTGGTTCTGGTCCCCAAAAAGGACGGCACCACCAGATTCTGTGTGGACTACCGGAAACTCAATGACAAAACTGTCACCGATGCCTACCCCATGCCCAGAGTGGATGAGCTGCTGGATCGCATAGCCAGGGGGAACTACCTAACTACCATTGACCTCTGTAAGGGATACTGGCAAATTCCCCTGGCCAGGGAGGCTGTCCCCTAGTCGGCCTTCGTCACCCCGTTCGGTTTGTACCACTTTAAGGTCATGCCGTTCGGGATGAAGAATGCCCCCGCTACATTCCAGCGCTTGGTGGACAGACTCCTTGATGGCTTCCAGGAGTTTGCCTGCGCATACCTGGACGACATAGCGATCCATAGTGAGTCCTGGGAGGAACACCTGGCTCATGTGGGAATAGTCCTGGACCAGATTCGAGCCGCCGGCCTGACACTAAAGCCAGAAAAATGTCACTTTGGGATGGCTGAGGTGTAGTACCTGGGCCACCGGGTAGGCTGTGGGAAGCAACGACCGGAGCCGGCTAAAATAGAAGCGGTCACCAACTGGCCCACTCCACACACTAAGACCCAAGTGCTAGCCTTCCTGGGTACCGCTGGGTACTACAGGAGATTTGTACCGGAGTATAGCGCCATTGCCAAACCCCTGACTGACCTGACAAAGAAAAACCTTCCCCGACAGGTCCTGTGGTCTCCCCACTGTGAAACTGCTTTCCAAGCACTCAAAACTGCGTTGATTAATGCTCCTGTCTTGGTTGCCCCAGCCCCTAATCGACGTTTTATTGTCCATACAGACGCTTCCATGTTCGGGCTGGGAGCTGTCCTCAGCCAAGTAGGAGATGATGGGAAGGAACACCCGATTGCCTACATCAGTCGAAAACTCCTACCACGCGAAGTCAGCTATGCCGCAGTAGAAAAGG